TTTGGAAGGATTTGCATTTAACAGGAGGGATAACACATTTCTCTTCAGCTGTATGTGTTTGGAGCGGGATATAGATCAAAATGCTTAAGTCAAAAGTGAAGCTTGTGAAACTAAGGGATGCCTATTTTAATGGAAGATTAAACAGAATTGGATCACAACACAAACACCTCATAACAGAGATTCACAAAAGAGTTTATTGGTCCAAACCCATGAAGAAGAGGTCAGAAATGATAAGAAGAACTTTCAGAGGGTAATAGGACTGATAGTAAGAGTGTAAAACACTAGAGAGGCACTTTAAATGATTCACTACAGTCATAATCAATCAGAAGATCTTCAGATCAGCACATCAAGGACACTCGTCTGGAGAGGAAACACACACACACACACACACACACACACACACACACAGGTCAGATCTGGAGGCAGTCACAGATAAATAATAAACACATGCACTCTTTTACATGTTTTACCATTTTTAGGAAGGATGGCAATGTTTTCAGGCAGAATCCCTTGCTCAAGAGAGAATTCTGTGAATTTATCCAGGACGTCCTGACTTAGGTCTGTTGTTCGGCCTGTGGAAACACAGCACCAGTGTTGGGGTAATTAGTTGGCAACAACCAAGCATTGCAATGCTCATAATAAACATGCGCACACAAGTGTGTGTGATTGAGAGTGTATGGGTGTTTCCCAGTTCTGAGTTGTGAGATTAGATTAAATAATTAATAACGCCTTTCTTTTTAGGTGTGACTTACATTAGGATGAATAACTAATATCACATTTAATTTGTTTATCTGGGACTGACATTAGGCTGAATAATTCATAACGAAATTTTTTATGATATTTTTAGCTGTGACTAAGATTAGGGTGAATATATATATATATATATATATATATATATATATATATATATATATATATATATATATATATATATATATATATATATATATATATATATATATATATATATATATATATATATATATATATATATATATATATATATATATATATATATATATATATATATATATATATATATATATATATATATATATATATATATATATATATATATATATATATATATA